ATTTTTCATTCCCCTTTTGCATCCATCAAGACTAAAACTTTATTTTTCTCAATCAAATGTTGAAAACATCTAACTTTACTCAAATCCTTTCTCAAGGTAAAAAAGACTAAACCAATTCAAACCTTTTGCCTTCGGGCCGCCTTCGGGCTTTTCTTTGGAAACCTTTTCATAAAAAGGATGTGTTATTTGCTCTTCGCGTATATGATGCGTAAGTCCCCAGAGGTCGAGAGACATTATGTCTATTTCTAGAGTGCGAATGTAACATTATCCGCCTAAAAAAATACAAAACAAACAGAAAATTTTGAGCCGAATTACAGTGCTCTAATTCCTTAAAAGGGATACCATAGGCATTAGGTTGCATGGTCTAAGAGAGAACAACTATTTAAAACCTTTGTTTTCCCTGTATAACTTTCTCATGCATTTACCTTAGTTTGTAAGCTTTAGCATAGTTTAAACACACCCTTTGATTAGAACAACAAGAGTGGATCTCGTGGAGTACCACGAACGTGAGGGGTGCTAATACCTTCCTCTAGCGTAATTGACTCCCTTATCCGTTTCTTTAATGCGAGACCTTGTTCTCACTTACTTCAGGGTTACTCGATGTTTTCCTTTCCCTTCTTTGGGATAAATAACATTTGATGACGACTTCATTGTTTTTCCTAGTTGCTTCAGTTGGCGACTTCACTGGTGAAACTAAGTGAGTCAGCCCTAGCTCTTGTGTGTTTTTTTTCATTGGGTGTTTATCTATATGCTTTACTTGCTTTATGTATTTCATTTATTTACTTATTTGTTATACTTGCATTTCATTTTATTGCTTTCCATATTATGTATATTGTTGTGTTGGATATTGGATATTTTGTGTTTTCTTGGTGGGTGGGATGTTACTATGAGGTAAAAGGCCTAACACCCAGGCCAGTGTGACACATCTAGGAACACATAAGACTAGAGTGGATAGTCATGACGCCTACTGGGTGCATACCCTACTAGCTTGATCATGAGAGTCACACACAGACGAGGTACACTTGGGGGTTACTATCGTCAAGAACGCCTGTTGCTATGGTGATATACCTTTCATTTAACTCACGACTCTATGTATCTTTTGACCTTAACTTGACTAGATTTACCTGTGAGTGGGGTGGAAATATTCGTAATAGGTATTGTTGCTTAGCTACATGATACTTGGTTCCTTTGTGTTCTGAATAGGTGTCGGACCTTTGACCTCATGACATTCAGATTATTTAGAAATAGTGCCGAACTTTTGAATCTGCTTCGTGTAAACTTATTTAGAAACAACACAATAGCATGGAAGTTTATTCAGATGTGGTGGAGCATTGGTTCCATACCTATTTCATTTATATCATAGCATTCATGAAAAAAATACTTATGAAAAAGAGATAACTAACCCGCATATGCATATCATTTCCAGGTATCCCAAGGTTTTTGTCTTTATTCAAGTATGAATAGACAAAAAGGTACAAGTAAGAAGACTACCAGTGACACATCCACCTACAAGTTCCTAGATTATGGTTTGGAATTTGTGTAGAACGTGAGTACGTTAGTGGTTAGAGAGAACCAAAACACCTTCAAAGACACCTATAGTAACCTTATGTATTTGTTGAACCTTGGGATTGACTACAGAGCCTTTCAAACTGTTCTGCAATTCTATGACCACGAGTTGCATTGCTTCACCTTCCAGAAATATTATCTCACTCCCACTCTAGAGGATTATGCCCATATCATATACTATAAAGTAACAAACCACATACCTTTCGTCAGAGTACCTGAAGTCGTTAGATATGAACGGATCTCTAAAGCTCTTTATTTGAGTGTTCAAGAGGTTAAAGACCATTGGGAACCTAAGGATGATACTCATGTTATTCCATTGAAATTCTTAATAAAAAGGCCAGATCCTTCACAGCAAAAGAATAATGGGTTGCTTTTAACACCTTGCTAGCCGCCATGATTTATGGAGTGGTTCTCTTTCTCAACATAGAGAATCATGTTGATCTTGCAGCCATGTGCGTCTTTATGAACAGAAATCATGTGCCTACACTGTTAGCTGACATGTATCATTCGATTCATACTAGGCACATAAAATAGGGTGTTGTTGTTTGTTGTTTACCTTTGTTGTATCGATGGTTTATGTCCCATCTACCTACTAAGGGAGCTTTTATTGATACAAAGAAACCTTGTAAATTGTATGAGAAGCTCATGGCACTCACTTCCCACGATCTGGTGTGGTATAATCGATTAGGCCATGGTACGTCAGTTATTTGGAGTTGCAGAGGTTTCCCTAATGTTCCTCTCATGGGAACAAGGGGGAAATCAACTATAATCCTGCTTTATCACTACGCCAGTTGGGCTATGCGATGCAAAATCCACCAAAGGAGGAGTGGATTAAAGAAGTTGTTTTTTTCAACAAAGGGGAAAATTCAGAGTTGTTACAGAAAGTAGAGAAGTCCTAGAATGAAAGTTACCGCAAGGAGAAACTCCTTTTGGATAGAAGAGATGGGAAAGTCGAAACTCCTTACACAAAGTGGATCGAAAATAGGGCTAAGACCAACTTGTTGCCTTTTTTCTATGGTGGCACCTATCTATCCACAACCTCCTGAGAGACAATCTTTGCCACCTTCAGTTTCGGTTGAAGATCTCAACAATGATATGGCTAAAAAAGAACGACTATGTGCTGAGAAGGAAGATTTGGTTAGGCGGCTTTATAAAGTGAACCATGACAAGAAAAAGCTTATTCAAGAAGCAAAGTGAAAGACCAATTGCAGAACTCTCAAGATATCAACGTTAAGACCTCTCGCACTATTGATAGCCAGAACAAAACTTTAGCGAAGGTTGAGAAGAGCCTTCAGGAGAGTCAGCAAGAAAAAAAAGTCTCCAAGCGTTCAAAGACCAGATGGAAGCTGATTATAAGGTAGAGATCAAAACTTTGAAGAAGAAACTACGACTTCAAGAGACCAGAAATGGTGAACTTCTTGGCCATAAGCAGTAGGCAGAGCTCCAGCTCAAGGGAAGGCAATCCCAACTAGAGAGGGTTAAAAAGGAAAATCTGGATCTCAAGGCTCAAATGGAAAACAAGGGTAAGAAGCTCATGGAAGTACAATCTGAAGAGGATGATATATGCCGATATCTGGAAACCATGATCCACAACAAGGATCTCCTTATTCAGAGTTTGATCCAAAAGCCAAAACATGAAGATACCAGAAAACTCCTTAAAGAATCCCAGGCTTGGAGTAAGGCCTACTTCGACAAAAGTGTGTTTAATTCAGTTGAGGCGGAAGATGATCCCTAGGCTTTATGTTTTCAATGTATTACTCTTTTTCGATCACCACCAGACATGTCGGTTAGGATCTTTATCGTTTTCACATTATATGCATAACAAGTTTATGTATTTGTGGTACTCATTTGGAAAGTGAAAGATTCAAATCAGTGAGAGAGTGAAAAATAAAATTTGAATAGGAATGATTCAAATACCTAAAAAGTGACATGTTTTCCTCTTTAAATATAAGAGATGGTTGATAACTACATGTGTGTGAAATGACATTGAATGCGGTCAACCACTAAATTGATTTGGGAGACTGTCGTGGTATCCTTGTGAGAGATACTCTACGATACGGGATAAAAAAACATATGCGTCCTTCGTATAATAATTTGTCACCTCGCTACTAGGCCTTACGATCGGCACAAAACAAAACGGATTATGGTTTATGCAAAAGGATATAAGACAACACGACTTTTGATTGAAAATATTAAATCCAAAAAATATAATAAATTTAATAATTAAATAAATTATTAATATTTTTAAATAGATTATTTAATTTATTTAAAATTAAATAATTAATGTTACTTACTTGACGTTCCAGTGGTTGTGACGCGTATTAAATGAGGACGTCATATATGAGCAAAAGTCGAAGAGACAAAAAAATTACATAAATTAAAAAATAGAGAGAAAAAACCGAATGTTAAAATATAAGATTAAAAAATTGAAATCTTCAGAATAGTAGATTCTAAATGCATTTAAGTTTATTTATTATTATTATTTAAATATATTTCTATTAAAATTAATCATTTATATTAAAAGATTAAAAGTGAGAATAAACACACAAACAAAATATTTAGATACAATCAAAATAAATTTTAATATAAAGACAAAAAAAATTATATTTAAAAATATATTAAAAGGTAATTAAAATAATGACATAAATTTTTATAAAAGATATTTAAAATTAGGGATGACAAACGAGCATGTTCCTCTCATTTAAACTCGTCCTGCAAAAATTCGAAAAAAAATAGAATAGGACGGAGCAGATATAATTGAGGATCAGAACCTAAAACCTAAGTCTTTACCGCAAAAAAGTGAGAATGGAGCGAGAATAGTCCGTGGACACTATATTATATCTTTTAAGTCTAAAAATATAAAAATTCATGTAAATGAGTATGTCCATAAAAACTTGCGAAGAAAATAAAACAGAACGGAACAGACACATAAGAGGATAAAGACTTAAACTCTTAACACGTCCCAAAACAAACATGTCAAACGAATCGGATCCGTCTTATCACCCCTATTTAAAATCCTTTAAACTTAAAAAAAAAATCAATTTAGTAAAGGATATAAATTTTTCCCCTATTTAAAATCCTTTAAACTTAAAAAAAAAAATCAATTTAGTAAAGGATATAAATTTTTTTTAATAACAACAATAAATATTAGTTGAACCTTCTCTCTTGTTTTTTTTTTTTTTTTTTGCTTATTTAATAAAAATTGAAAGGATTTCAACTCTTCTAAATAAATAGAGCTTTGAACTCTTTTGAAAAATGTAAAAAATTATCCAAAAAGTAACAAAACGACACAAAAAAGTCACACTCACACAGTGACAAAAAGCAAAAGTACACAACAAAATCCACCAACCTCAATAATAACACACCGACTCATGATTCATAGATCCCTGAAGTACATTCTTGTCCTTCAGTTTCACCATTTTGTTTGCCTAATAATGAAACTCAAACTGATTCTAGCCATTTTATTGATCGTGTCAGTAATCACCATTGCTGATGATGTTTACATTCGACCTCAGCCTCGAAAAACCTTGCATCTTCCATGGGATTCAAAACCCTCTTCTTATCCCCAGCAGGTTATATATTTTTCTGCAAAATCACTACTTTTGTATACCCTTTTGCTTTATTAGTTAATCAATGTTTTATTTTACCTTTTTTTCATTTAGTTTTGTAAGAGAAACCACTTTTATGTTTCTGGCATTTGTTTACTTAGAAAAATTGTCGCTTTAATTTGTAGATTTCTGACATTTAAATGTTTCTTGTTAGAACTTAAGCAGACTCCTTCACGTTTCGTCTTTAGACTTTACATATGAGATCATAGGCGTGTTTATATAAGTATTAGCATATTTAAGCTTAAATATTGACATATAAACTTGTGAGATTGTTTGATAGAAATACAACATACAGAAACAACTTATGCCATGTCGATAAGTTGTTTTTGGCTTATTTCCATTAACTCTTCAAGATAGCTTTTGAAAACAATTTTACTTCGTGTGTATTCCAATTCCAGGTACACGTTTCTTTGGCAGGAGACAAGCACATGAGAATTACCTGGATCACTGATGACAAATCTGCACCTTCAGTTGTCAAATATGGAACATTGCCGGGTAAATACGATTATGTAGCGGAAGGAGAGACAACCTCTTACAGTTATATTTTCTATAGCTCAGGAAAGATACACCATACAGTAATAGGCCCCTTAGAGCCGAGTTCTGTTTACTTTTACCTATGCGGTGGACAAGGTCCTGAGTTCCAGCTCAAAACACCTCCAGCTCAATTTCCGATTTCATTTGCCGTGGCAGGAGATCTTGGCCAAACGGGTTGGACTAAATCAACGTTAGATCACATTGGTCAATGCAAATATGACGTTAACCTGATTCCTGGTGATCTTTCGTATGCCGATTATATCCAGCGTCGTTGGGACACGTTTGGTAGGCTCGTGCAGCCACTTGCTAGTGCTAGACCATGGATGGTAACACAAGGGAACCATGAAGTGGAACATTTACCGTTGTTAAAGGAGGGATTTATATCCTATAATTCGAGATGGAAAATGCCGTTTGAGGAAAGTGGATCGAGTTCGAATCTCTATTATTCTTTTGAAGTTGCTGGTGCTCATATTATCATGCTTGGTTCCTATGACGATTATGATGTCCACTCGGAACAATATAGATGGCTAAAGGTTAGCCGTTTATTTTTTTCTAGTCCTCGCAATCGCAATGGCGGCCATTCTGCTAACCCCTATGCCGCTTTAGTAGTTTTAGGTCTGGTGCTTCACGCCGCTAGCTGGGATTAACAACATAGCAATAACATACTTACATTTGATAGGACTAGCATTCATAGTTTCCTTGAAACCTAAGAATGAAACATGTTTAAACATTCTGAGTTTTAATCTTGTATATCTTTGTGATCTACAGACAGATTTGTCAAAGGTGGACAGGAAAAGGACACCTTGGTTGCTTGTCATATTTCATGTCCCGTGGTATAATAGTAACACGGCTCATCAAGGTGAAGGTAGCGACATGATGAAAGCCATGGAGCCGTTGCTTTATGCTGCTAAAGTTGACTTAGCTTTTGCCGGTCATGTGCACGCATACGAACGCTCGGTATGATTACTTTGTAAAATTTACTTGCTAATCATAATTGAAACTCGACTAATCCGTGTGTGATTTACAGAAACGTGTATATAATGGAAAACTGGATCCTTGTGGTGCTGTTCATGTAACAATTGGTGATGGAGGGAACAAAGAAGGCTTGGCTCATAAGTAAGTTTGATTCTATTCTCTTAATAATAGTTACGCCAAAAAAAGATATTAAAGTTGTTTTCGTATTCAACCTTTAAGAGATTCTTAGATCATACTTAAGATTTGTATGACTGTGTCGTTGATGTTTGTCAGGTATATAGATCCACCTCCAAAGTGGTCAGAATTTCGTGAAGCGAGTTTCGGTCACGGTGAGCTAAAGATTGTAAACTCGACGCATGCTTTCTGGAGTTGGCACCGTAATGACGATGATGAACCGGTAAAATCTGATGATATCTGGATAACCTCTTTAGTAAGCTCAGGTTGTGTTGGTCAGAAGAGAAATGAACTTGAGCATGCACTTGTGACACCCTAAAATTTCTTGATCTTCTGTTTTTCCTCAACAATGGATTAGCAAAGATTTTGGTTGTGAATTAATATATAGTAATATAGCTTAAGGTGTTTTAGTGCTTTAATATATGCTTGTTCTTATACTTTAATATCAGTTATCACTTTTATTAGTAATAGATGGTATTGTGTTGTTTGTTAGGAGAGAAGTATAAGAGAAATAGAAGAGAGGGAAGTATAATTATTTTTGAAATTACAAAAATACCCTTAAACTAAAAAAAGTTAATGCTACAAAATTCCGTCATTAAATTTTTATTTATCAATATCTATTTAAATATGTATTTTAATTAAAAATAATACTTATTGAGTAATTTTAATTTATTTAATTGATTTGTTATTTTAATTATTTAAAATATTTTAATTTATAAAATTTATTTGTTTTTATAAGAAAAGCAAATAGGCTAACATGTAAGTAAAAAAATACAATAGATTTAACTTTGGCCAAATATAAACCACAATAAACCAAAGCAGGTATTAAATTGATTTTGTTGAAGTATCATTAGAAAAAAGAAATGAAATGTATGATAAGATAAGGGTATTGATTGGAAACAAAAAAAGTTAAAACTTTTTCTTCTCTTTCTTCTCTATAATGAGAAGAAAGCAAAATGCGGTGGGATCTACCTATATTCTTTCTCTCTTCAACATTTCTTTGTATTATCAATCAAGAGAAGTTAGCTTTTTCTTTGCAACTTCTTTGTAATTTTTCTCTTTGATACTTTTCTCTCTTGTTTCAAACACACCCTATATGATCGATTTTTTGGGATTCTTTATTTACATGATCGATTTCTTGGGATTCTTTAGAAAATTATTTATCCCTCATACGCCTCATGTTTTGAGGGGTTGTGTATGTCCGATTTTCGAGGTTGGGTTTTTGAATGAACTAGATTCAGAGGAATTCATTCTGATTAATGATTAGTCTAAATAGTAAGATCGGGTTGAAATAACTAATGTCAGGATGGTTATAGTTAATGAGTGAGAATAAGTTAGACCAACTAACAACGACCTACTGTCTAACACACATTCAGGTTAGATTTTATTTTTAAAGTGAAAAAGCTTAGACTTTTTTATAAATCTATATAGTTAAAAAGGTTAGGTCATATACCATAAAAAAAAATTTTAAATCTATAGGACTGGTCTATTTAAATAAATATGAATAAATTTAATATTATTATTATTATATTTTATTTGTACTTTTAACTAAAATACAAAAATAATGTTAAATTATTTTGGTGAGCTTGTGAAAATAAGTTGAAAAAATTTTATTAACAATTTTATACGTTGTCTTTATATGTTCTCTGTAACACCTCGTACATATACGTCTAGAATAATATGCAGTGATGTTAAATATGGTACAAAGAAACATACAAAGTTGGAAAAGACAAGAAATTAAAACTGTATACAATACAACTCCAATATGAGAACGTATACGAATAGCTTGTCTTCAACATTACACATCAGAAAGATAATGTCTACAAAGGTCTTCCTGCCATCTGCTCGCCTGCAATCTTCAAAACCGACCATCTAACATTTCTTCCATCTAAAACTTGTTTCTGAAAAAATAATAAGAGGATTGAGGTGGGATTACTAAATCTTAGTGAGTTTTTCTATCTTATGGGTTCACTCGGTTTTACAAGGTGCATGCATCAAAAAGAATCTGCCGTGGATCTGGGGTTTTCTCACGGCTAGGTACAACTACACAAAGAGGAAAATCTCTATTGATAGTCCCTTGAGATCCCAACGAGTTTAAACAAAATATTACCAAAAGCAAACAAGTATGTAGACCCGTATCCGTGTACGAGAAATTCAGGAGTATATTATTTCCCCTACTCAGGTTACACTATCACACCCTCGGTGAGTTACACCCGTGCATCACATCAAGAGACCTGCCCTGGTCACATCACGACGATCTGAATCATTCCTAAGTGAAATTTCATTCATGACAAGTTCCAAGAGTGACATTTACCGATGAGACATCACAACTCGTCCATCATCCAGACACATGTGATTAACTACCGGTGCAAATACGTCATCTCATCAACATGAGCCCACTGGGCGAAAGCATAATGGTTTTGCCTACATGGCACTATTAGAGGTGAGTTTAGAACGTGAAGTGACGTTGTCTATGTGGTGTCACAACTCCACCATACCAAGCACGCGATGTTCTTAACTGTTGGTGGAACGCCACACAAGGACTCACACAAGCGCATCACAATGGTAGCTAAGGTGCTTATGACATACCGAGCACGCAGATGTTCTTAACTGCTGGTGGAACATCACACATGACCCACACAAGCGCGTCGCAATGGTACAATTGACACACAAAATCTACACCATGAGTGATTTACTTCATAGTATCCGGGCCTATTCTGATTCAAGCATACATCAAAACCACAATGTGTATCAAGCCACAAGGTACACATCAATCCACACAAATACATCACCAAACATTCAACCGAAACGACGGAAAACAACACATGATTACAACACAATATTATTATATAATGTATTTCCAACAATCACATGCATTAATCATACATATTCAATAATATGAGCATATCATAGCTTTTCAAGTATAATGTATTCCACATATAATCATGCATATTCATAATATTATCACTTGGCAATTATATCATAGCATTTAATGGTCTATAACCCCCATAGAATATCAAGTGTTAAATTAGGGAGGCATTTGCTTTAGTTTTCGAAACAACTCTGCACTTGGGGAATTATTTATAAAATTTTGTGTTCCAGATCACGCTAAGCGCGGATATGTGCGCTAAGCGCAATCTGCGAAATAATCAATTTTCAATTACAGAGGCGAGCGCGCTGAGCGTGGTCTGCAATTTGTAGAAAAATTAGAAATGTATGAGTTCTGCTTAGGGTCCAAATTCCCCAATTCATCTTCTTTTTCAAGTACACATACCATACCAAAATAGAGAACAAGTTATTTACATGCTAAACATCAATTAGTATCAACATGCAATAGAAAATTTATTCTAACCCTTAATCCCAAACATGTAATTTCCACAAAACCCCAAATTCATACCCAAGTTTTAACTATAGAACTCACCTTAGATTAATAGAGGTTAAGATGACATCCATGCAGCAAATGAACTCCTCTCTTGTCCAAAACTCTACCTCCATCATCATCAATCTCGTAACCACACTTTGATCCATTTCAGCAAGATAACTTGAACTTCAATCGTGTTTTTCTTCTTCAATACAAAATTTATGAACACAAAATTATATATCAAAATGAAGGGAATTTCGTGTAGATTTTAGAAATTTAAGAATTTCTTAAAATGAAGTTATGAGTAAAAAAGTTATGACCTGATTAGTGAGAGGTATTCTTGGAGTGCGAAAATGAAGATGAACATAGCTTCTTTTTCTTCTCTCTCTCTCTCCACCTTCTTATCAAAAATATGATTGTTATATATTTACTCAAACAAGTCTTAATGATCCCATGTAACTATATTTAATGACCACTTTTCCCTTCAACTAAGTAGAAATAACAACCTTGTCATTTAGTTCCATTTTTGCTAAATACTTGGATATCAACTAATCTCTTTTCTTAAATCATAATTAATTCATAATTTCTTCTTAGCAACTATATATATATATATATATATATATATATATATATATATATATATATATATATATATATATATATATATATATATATATATATATATATATATATATATATATATATATATATATATATATATATATATATATATATATATATATATATATATATATATATATATATATATATATAATCATGTTTAGACAAATAAGGATGTTATATTCTCAAACAAATAGTAAGTAAATTTGTGTTAATTCATAATTTATGTTAATAAGTAAATTTGAATAAGTCAATGAAATAAGTATATACTCTTGTTGATCTTTTAAATTGTTAGTCTATTTAAATATTAATTAAACTTTTTATTCATAAATTTTTAAATAAAATATACTTTTATGTAGGCTAATAGGTTAAACAGACCTTCGAAAAGGTCAGGCTCAGGACAAAAAATAAGTCTATGATAGGCCACAGACTAGACTTAGGCTTTAAAATATTTAGCAAGTTAGGCTCAGGCTTGATAAAGCCTAGCTTGATCTAGCCTATTACCACTTCTATTGATCAAGATGTCATGATCCTAAATTTGGACAATAAGTATGATTCTCAATCATCATTAAGAGGTCAAACAAATAGGGAATAGTCACAATAGTTATATAAGGAAAAGAGCGTAAGGAGAAAATATATGAATGTCAATTTACCATGATCCATCAACATATATAATTGTCTACTAATTGTATCCTCGTAAATGCATAATAGCAAGGAAGACAAAGGATCTACTTGCCTCATTCTTCTAGAAAAAGAAAAAAAAATCATGGAGCTTTTCCATTTATCATACTGAAAGTTTAGCTAAATGTGGAATAGTAAATATTCAATCACAAAATTTTTAATCAAAATTAAATTGAACAAGAACTTTAATAAGATATTGCCAATCTAAAGTATCAAATGATTATGTTATGTCTATCTTCAAATTTATACTACCTCTAAAAGATTTCTTATCCAACATATTAATAACTTCTAAAGTAATCTCAATGTCCTCATAAATATGTTTGTCCATAATGAAGTCTCTTTTGTGTTCTAAAACAATTTTAGGAGCTAAGACGGCCAACCTCTCTGCAATGATCTTAGTGATATTTTTTTAATTGAAAATTTATAAGTGAGAGAGATTTATACTACTATAGAAATCTGTTCCATGTTGTTTAGATATCAAAGTCAAATTAATTGAATTGGGATTAGGAATGATCCAACCTTGTTCAAAGAATTGGCTCAATGAAATGATCACATAAGCCCCTACTATATCCTGATAGGTCTGGAAAAAACATTCGTCAAAGCGATTAAGATCTAAAGCAGAATTATCATCTATATTGTGCATTGCACTCTTAATTTCCTCCAGCTGAGACATTCAAGTGAGATATTAAGTATCTGCATGATTTATAAGTTGTGGAATGGTTCTCTCCACCAGATCGGTACAACTGCAATTGTTTTGAGTTAAACAAATTTTTGTAGAAGTTAATAACATGATTATTTAATTCAATATTTTCCTCTAAAAAACTTGGTATGTCTCGGTCTAGTGATTTTGTTACTAGCATATTTTAATATGTTTGTATTGTGAAAAAACTTTTTATTCCTATCTCCATTTTAAACCACTTATTTCTTACCTTTTTCCTTTAAAATTTATCTTGCATATGCAATGCCTTATCTAATAGAAGTTGAACATTTTTCTCCAATCTTAGACCATCATTATAACATGTATCATTAATCAAACTTTATATCTTGTTAACATCATTAGTAGCTTGAGTGATTTTAAGATGAATATTGTCAAATATCTTTTTGCTCTATTTATCATGAATGGGTTTAAAAGATCTCAATTTATTAGATAAAACAAACATAGAACAACCAACCACGCCAATATTTCAATTAGCATCAATTAGTTGTTTACATCTATCATCAAGAGTCTAAACCTTCGTAAATTTGAACGGTCTGGCCGAATCAAACCTGCATTTATCATGACGGAGAAGAATAGGGCAATAATTCAAGTGACTCTTGATCAAAGTGGAACAATAGACCGTGATCTAATTATTTAGCCAATTCTGATTACAAATGGTTCTATCAAGTCTAATAGAAGAGTAACATTCCATGTCTCTACACTATAAATTTTGTTGAGATCTTTCTTTGATTTGAATGAAAGTTCAAAATAGCCATGTCCCAAAGGAGTTAAGTCTCAATTAGTAACCAGACTCCATAATTTCATGAGTTTGTCACGTAACTCTGATGTCTTAAATAACATGTTACCTTTACTAGTGACCAGTCTCTCATATAAATTATTTCGACAGCATTCGAGTCCTGCTTTGTAAGCCTATTTAAATATCTTGATCGAGAGATAATTATTTTTGAGACAAGGCTTGGAAAAATTAGAAATTGATAATGCCTCACACATTTTGAAGAGATTTTGCAAAAGATTTCTTTTATGTTTAGGTTAGGATATAGATATATGAATGATTCGAGGAATAAGAGACGATCATGGAAATTCTCCATGATGATGGCTTGCCCTGGATGAGTCCATGCCGATTAGTTTTCTTTCAAACTCTAACAGAACATCCAAAAAAACTTGGTGTCGTGCAAACACAGTATCTTTTTCCTCATACCTTATTTCAATGATTTGACGGTCTTATTTTTTTATTAATATTTTATGATTTGTTAATTTTAATGAAATGCTTACTTTATTTTATTTTATTTTACTTTGTCATAATAAATTTTAAAATAATTACAAAGTATTATATATTTTAAGATATTTTTTCATGAAGTAACTTTTTATTTTTCTAAGGAACAAAACTGAATTTTGTGAATTTTTTTTCACGAACTAAAATAATTCTCCACTCTATATTAAATTAAGAAACAACACTTCATGTAATTAAATAAGTAAAATCAACTTTAATAATTATTTAATCTTTTTAATCAAAATAAAATTATTTTAGTATTTCTCTGAGAAGTTAAGATTATTAAAAAAAAAATCATAAAACTTATTTTGAAATTTAAATAAGCCTTTATTAGACGCTTTCACGGTTGTAGTATACCTATTTTTCTTTGATTATTATTAAAACGGCATCTTGAAGTTGTAAATTCGTGGAAGACACACATCCTTACATTACATAGTAACCTCTATCTACATTTGTTTGTTGGCATTCAATTCATCTATGCCACGAAAAGATTTCTAAGTGGACACAAAATGTTCACACTTCCATTCATTTCTTATATCACTTGTAAACTCTAAGCCACACCAATTAAAATTAAGCATACTTCGAGGGACCACAAAAAAAGAGCATAGCAATATTTTGGTCCAAGTAAACCATCAACACTTTTTTTTATCTCTGACTTTTATATCATTAGAGTCGTAGGGAAACTGTGAATCAAATTCAATGTTAATAATATTTGAGAATCACATAACACCACGCATCTTCATTGTCCACCACACTATGCCTTTTCCCAATTCCACAAATAAGTGCATTTTATCATGTCTTCATTCTTCTCACAACCACTACTATTATAGCATTGCATTCTTTCATACAAGCCTTTGATTCCTCTTCCACTTCTCCAATGTCTTCCTTAACTCAACACAGATACCTCCCAAGCTTTCACCACCATGGTTGCACAAAAAGCACATCCGTCCACCGAATTCGTGTCTATTGCTCCACCAAAACTACTACTACTATGAAGTCCAAGCCCAATGCTGATCAGTTGATCGTTGAGCCTAGATTTGCGCCGCTGCCAACCGCGGCTAACTATCCAACGGAGAGTGACACAAGTTTGCAATCAACATGGTCTCATCGCGCATGGGTGGCGGTTGGATGCACAACTTTGCTAATCTCTTTGGGAGAGTCTATAAAGGGTTCAATGGATATGAACATATGGGTTGAGCCCATTTTGGCAGGTTGGGTTGGTTACATCTTAGCAGATCTCGGGTCCGGAGTTTATCATTGGGCCATTGATAATTATGGAGACGGGTCAACTCCGTTTGTCGGAGCTCAAATTGAAGCTTTTCAAGGCCATCATAAATGGCCTTGGACAATCACTAAACGTCAATTTGCCAACAACTTACACGCGCTTGCGCGTGTCGTGACCTTTGTAGTACTTCCCATAGACCTTCTTTTCCACGACCCTATACTTCAAGGTTTCGTTGCGGTCTGTGCGGGTTGCATTATGTTTAGCCAACAATTTCATGCATGGGCTCATGGGACAAAGAGCCGGCTTCCGCCTCTCGTGGTGGCTTTGCAGGACAGCGGAGTGCTCGTGTCACGCTCGCAGCACGGGGCGCATCACCGCCCACCGTATAACAATAACTACTGCATAGTAAGTGGAGTGTGGAATGAGTTTTTGGATAAAAATCAAGCTTTTGAAGCCATGGAAATGATATTGTATTTTAAACTTGGAGTTAGGCCAAGATCATGGAGTGAACCTGCTTCTGAGTGGTTGGAGGATATTCAAATTGCTTCTCAAACCCAATCACAATGACCTTTCTTTCTTCTCTTTTCCTTGTTAAAATATTTATTTCTTGCATATAATATTTATGTGGATAATTGGATATATCATTCTTATCTCCCTATGTTCTTTTCACTCAATTAAATATAATCATTTTTAATTATTTTACTACCATTCCTACGTTGTATGCAAGTTGAAAATACTTACAAGATTAAGGCTTGCAATTCTATTATCATATTTCTAGCGATATTGAACTTAGCAATTTATAATAAATGTTCAATTCATGACTCAGAAAATAGTTCTTGATTTTATAATAATCACCCACTACTAACACCAATTTTAAGTGCTTATCAAGAGAATAAATGTACAAACTGTTAATGTAAAATGCAAGAAATTACTAATCTTGAAAGAAATAAAATTACCAAACAACAACTAATTCACAACACTTTAAACTTGCCATTAGGACTTGGAAGGAGGACTTCAAGTCATATTTAGCAGGAGACTTCCCTGCTGCAAATTCATTTTCAATTTATAATACCATCAAACATGATAATAATTCATTTTCGAGAGACACTTGTTAAAAGCTAAATATTAAAATAATCTTGAAATAGTAATTAATTTTTTTAAAAACTAATGAGCTTATCATAGATGTTTACATTATAAGTCTTTCAGGGTCAACCAGAAGATCGATCACAGAAAAATCCAATCATCAATCTAAAGTCAAAAGGCATTGGAGGTATAATACACCAGTGACCTCCAAACATGTATTCGATCCTCACCATGGATCATTCTTAGTTCTTGTATGTCATCCACGGTTCATCGCATACCACTCTGAAAAGCAAGGGGATTTTTAATCGCTACTCATATATAAGGGATCCTAACATGAGGTATGTTCTAACCTTAATTTACTGACACCCTACTTTTCACTCAAGAACTGACTTATACGTTTGAGTGTTAACCTTACATGTCAACTCTCTCTCTCTGCTACCTCAAAAGCTTACTCAGCTGCATCAAAACACGATTACTTATTTCGGGTTCCACCACGGGATAGTGGCGTTGTATGTGAGAATCGATTTATGATTACTACGAAATCCACAATCAGATCTCTCTGATTTGTAAATCACAAACTACCGTAGCAAGCTTACTCGAAGAAGAAGATGTGAACCGATTCAATCACTGAAAACACAACAGATTTCTCAGCCTCAATATCTTTCCCTTTCTTCTCTGTTGATTCAATAGATGACGATTCATTCATCATAGAAGAACCTCTGTCACGAAACTCACCAGTGGCAAACGAAAAGCAGAAAGGTGAATGACCTATCTTAGGGTTATGAGATAGCAAGAAAGTAGATAAAATTTCTAATGTGACACTTCCACTAGTAGTAATTGTCACCATAGTGAATAATTCAATAATAGGAATCCTCGTAAATGATGGGAGCTCCTGTCATTTGCTATACATTGGAATCTTCAGAAGATTAGGACTACGCTGTTGAGAATTAAAGCCCTATGAAGGAGATAGTTTGTTAGCGTTTGTAATACAGTGGGAGAACTGATTTTTTGGTTTTATTCAAAATATGCGGATAACTAGAGTCGTCACCGACTTTTCTTTTATCCAATAAGGAAAGAGTGAAAAGAACAGGAAAAACCTTGATAGTTTTCGAGTTCAGGGGGTAAGTTATGAAAAGAGAAGGTGTTAGCACCTTTTTCATCCATAGTTATCTACAAGCTCTTAATTGCTTAGCTCACTTTTGAAAATCTTGCTCACTTCTGAATCCTCATTTTTAAATTTCCTTCTATAAGAATCAAGCTCATCATATCCAGTGGGTCGTAGCCCCTGACTTAAGAGAATGTGCTTTGATCTTGACAGCATCTGGCTAGAGAAAAATAAATCCTCTTTCCCCTGGCTAGAAATTCGACTTATGATAATCCTGCACCAAAGGTCCCTAAGATCTTTGAAATGGTTAGTAAAATATTATGTCATGATGATATGATGTTATGATGTCATGTTTAAACAAGTAGCAAACATAAACAAATCACACAAGAGCCTTAGGATTAAAGGCTTGTATGAGGTCCATAGGTAAGTACCCATCTCTATTGAAGTTAAGTTGGCTCAACCTATCCTGAAATAGTAACCGGATTCTATGAGTCTCAATATCATCGATCTTTCTCGTAGGTTTTATTTTAGCATGATAACTGACTTACCACCAAAATATCTCGAAAGTCAAATCTCAATGAGCGTAGCTTCAAGTATCAACCAACTTTGGATTGCACCAAATCCGGCTATCTCACTACCATCTAATGGCTAAGATGGGTCAATTAAGGTTCTAAAAGTCAATTAGAGTTTAATGATACCACGCGGCAGCCTAATATTTCCTCGACTGACTCAAGGAACATCAGTACAAACCAAAGCATCACACTAACGTAGCCATCATATTAATCATATCGGTCTATGTCGTACGGTTTCCATGATCTATTGCTACTTAACTAAGGTATCCCTAGATCCGGGTGTAGGATCTTACAAGTAAATAAACCCAAACAGATCCCTTAAAATAAAGCAAGCAATTCAAACAATTAAAGCAAGTAAAAGTGATCTAAACTCTAAGGTAACCTCTTTTTTTTAAGTAGTCCCCAACAGAGTGGCCAGTTCTGTAATACGGTGGGAGAATTGACTTTTTGGTTTTATCCAAAATATGCGGATAGCTAGAGTCACCACCGACTTTTCTTTTATCCAATGTGGAAAGAGTGAAAAGAACAGGAAAGACCTTGACAAATTTTGAGTTTGGGGGATAAGTTATGAAAAGGGAAGGTGTTAGTACCATTTTCATCTATAGTTATCTATGGGCTCTTAATCGCTTAACTCACTTTGAAAATCTTGCTTTGAGTGTGTGATTTGAAAATATTTTTGAAAATCCAAAGTACGACTAACTTTGTAATAATTCTTGTATCGGTCCTCAAAAATGTATACAAAGTGTTTTGTTTTGAAAATATTCGTTGTTTTGAAAGTGTGATGTGAAAAACGTTTATTTTTTAGAAAAGAGTTATGAGCAAACATTTAAGAGTTCTTACCCAATAAAGTTTGTTCTTATTCTTTCCCTTCTCATTTAGAGATAGTGCTATCCATACCATTAGTTGGTAGGTAGCCCTATCTATTGGATGTGAAGGGACGGGCGAAGGGTCATCGAATTATCATTGAAGGCAACACATAGAGATACTTTAGCAGTTAAATCGGAGGGACTGGATCATTTTTCGTAGGCAACATCGAAGGGTCATCGAGGGACTATGATCTTTATTCGAGGGTCTTTTGCTAAAGTATCCCTATTTTCGAGGGACATGACCATATATTCGTAAGGCAACAAGAGGGGGTACCCTAAAGATGCAAGTGTGCAAAGTGTGTTTGATTCTGTTATGTTAATCTTGAGTATTAGGGTTTTCTACGATTGTTTTTAATCTTGCCATATAAATCCTAATTACTACACATTTAAAAGTATAAGGTGCGGAATGTAAAGTGCAGAATGTAAAACTAAACTATTACAAGGCTTCGGGGCAGTTACATAAGAATGAAAGATGCGGGAAATAAAACCCTAAAACTATTACATCCTGGGAGCAAATACATAATAAGAAAATGCGAAAAATATAAAGCTACGCTATTATATCGATAGTCGCAACCTATACAATTGATCTAGGAATGTAAATAAATGAAGAAAAAGAAATAAGAAAATAGAGAAAAAAAGTTTGAATGTTTTTGTGGTTTTTTGTGAAAATAGTTTAAGGTGATAATTAATCAAAATCTAAAATTCTAATTAATTTTTGTATTAAAAAAGAAAGGCTAATTAAATGTTAATAAAAAAACCTAAACTTAATTAGTTAGTAAAAAGGTTAGATTAATTTGATAAAAAAAAGGAATTTGGTTAACCAAAAAATAGGGTTAGGGGAAAAAATCAATGAAAATATGTTAAAACTAAAATAAGGAGAAAAAAAAGATTCTCTGGGGTGGGTTTGAACCCACGCCCTCTTACCTTTTCCTTGCATAGCTTGCCATCAGGCCAAGCGCTGGTTGGTGATAGAGAACATACAACATGTATTATATTTGAAACCTGCAGGAATTGGAAAAAAATAGCAAAAATTTGCAAAAGGCAGGGATCAAATCCACATCCTTATAGATCAAAGACTTAAAGCGCACTTCGTTGCCACTGGGGTGGCTGTTACATCCGGTATTATAATGAAAACAATTAATTATAAAATAAACCAAAATAGATGGACCGGAGAGGCGTCGGAGCCCTAGCTCCGGTCGTCTTCTCTGGCGAGCTTGATTTTTCAACCTGCAAAATAGCAATTGTTAATGATCCAAAGAAACCCTACCCCCTAATTTGACCCTTGTGAATCCATTGGTGGCCTTAGTTTTGGCTAATTCTTTCTGCATAAAGAGATACGAACAAAATAATGTAAATTGGTCCAAATATAGTGCTAAGCTATCGAGGCATTATGGGACTCATGTGATGGTTCAATCCTGTATTGTTACATCTCAGAAATACAATGAAAGCATTAGTTCACATCAAAATATCATAGAATTTAAAACACGAAATTTATAAAAATATGTCAAATGACCATGCTTGGAATGCTTGTTTCATGCACTTTTGATCATCAAGAACGATCAAGTCTTACCCTATAACACCTCAGGGATTGATTGAAATAGTTGGTTTACTTTGAGAAGGGCTGGAACAATGATTTTAAGTTTGCCCTAGTTTGGAAAAATTTTGATATTTTTGAGAGAGTTCTCTTGCAGGGTTTTTTCGTTTCTTTTCTTGTCTGAATGTGGAGAGTATTTATAAGGGAAGATTAGGTCAAGAAAGATGGGCTTGGACCTTGTATGAAACCTTTGATTCTTGTTTGAAAATATAATAGAATAAGACAAAAGCATGGATATTTGATACAAATATAGGTTGACACGGTTGGCAGTGTAATCTTGGGCCTCCAACATGTTTGAAACAAAAGCCTTTTAAGCATTGCACCCCATTTGATATTTATTTGATTTA